CCGGCTCTCCTGCTAAAGGGAGGAGGCGGACATTGCATAGGGTCCATCCGGACCGCAAAAACCTCGGTCGGGCGACGAGAGACCGGACGAACAGGCTAACAACCGACGGCACAGCCGAAGCCACGCCACCGGCCACCTGCCAACGCACGTCCTTTAGTCCGTCGAGTCTTCCCAACCGGCTACGGCGTCCTCAGAGCGGGAGAAAATGCGTCGAGAACCGTAACCTGCACAGCCGACCCGGCCCAGTTCTGGGATCCGTTTTGGTCAGTCGGCCAGTGCTGCCACGGAAGCCCAACTGAATCCTCCCGCCACAGGATTTCGAGGGCCCACCCGTTTACCTCTGAGCAGTTTCACGTACTCTTGAACTCTCTCTTCAAAGTTCTTGAATGAATGATCGCAATTAATGGTTTTAGCAGTGCTGCTTTATAAGGGATTTACGCCTAGCCCTGGGAGAAGATACAAAGCGAGAAAAGGCAGACGAAATTACCTTTCTCCTATGGATACTTCCTACTCAGACATCCCCCCGCTGCATCTGTCCCATTTGGCATTTTGCACTTTTAGTGTCGGAAATGACCTGTACAACAGCGATCATTATCCCATTTTTGTATCTCTTGCTCGAAGAGCAGCAAACCCCATGTCGAGATTTCCTCGGTTTATACTGGACAGGGCAGACTGAGAACTCTCCTCTTCGTCCGCAGAGCTCACAGAGGAAATGGTAGAAGATGTGCTTATCGATGACGCTGTGGAAGCTGTTACTAATACTATTATTCAGGCAGCTATGCTTTCGATTCCTAGAACATCAGGAAAAATACTAAAATATTCGAAACCGTGGTGGAATCGCGACTGTCATGAAGCACTTAAAAGACAGAAAAAAGCATGGGGTATTTTTCGTAGATATCCTACTCTGCGAAACCTCATAGCCTTTAAAAGAGCCAAAGCAAATGCACGAAAAGTAAGAAGACAGAGCCAGAGGGATTCCTGGATTTCATATGTGTCGTCAATAACATCCTCCACGCCTAGTAAGCGGGTTTGGGAAAGAGTTCGTAAAGCATGCGGCATATATAAAGGCCACTCACTTTCCTTTTTGGAAAAAGATGGCCGAGTGATTAGCTCCATAGAAGAAATTGCTAATACTATTGGTGAGACATTTGCTGCCGTTTCTTCCAGCCGAAATTACTCACCTGCATTTCTTTCTATCAAGCAACGCTCTGAGAAAAATCCCATCGCTTTCAACTCTTCCAAATTTGAGCCTTATAATAGAGATTTTACTGTGCTAGAGTTAAAGAGAGCTTTGTTACAGACACATAGGTCGTCTTCGGGTCTCGATGGTGTGAATTACGATATGCTAAAGCATCTGTCCTATAAGTCACTGAATGCCCTTCTCACACTTTACAATAGAGTGTGGAAGGTGATGGTGATGGTGATGGTGATGGGTTTCTTGGCACAAAACCTCAATGGTTATCTGCGCCGGAACACATGTCAAAGAAACTTTTTAACACCAACAGACATACAAACAAACAGATAACATAAAAATCACAAGAATAGGTTAAAATACAATGATGGGATTATCTACAATGCTAATGAATACAATGATAAAATGTTTGAAATAAAATACTACACACATCACATGATTATTTCAATTACAAAAACAAGACTAAAATCATCAAACATGAGATATATTAAAAAACTTCTTATTAAAAACAATAAGGTTATACAACAAAATCAAATTATATTTGATAAAACATACCTATTTCTTTCAGGAACTGAAACAAATTTGGATTGACCTCTTTTCCTATGATATGGTCAAGAGGCAAGTCACATTTCTTAAAATGTTTCAAACGAAGATTTTTAAAATTTGGACATTCTAATAAGAAATGACGAACTGACATTACAGCAAAACAGTTTGGACACGCCGGTTCACTCTCACCTTTTAACAGATAACTATGGGTAATATATGAGTGACCAATTCTCAGACGGGTCAGCAAAACTTCCTCCTTCCGGCTCCTATTTGACTCCCAGCATTCAATTTTTGGTTTGATACTTTTCAGCTTATTTGCTGGCTGAGTATCCCAGACTTCCTGCCATTTAAAACAACAACTTGTCCTTGATGACTTTACGGATGTCATTAAACGGGACGAGGCGATGTGCAAGATGAACTGCAGATTTGGCTGTAATGTCTGCTAGCTCGTTTGCCTTTAATACCCACATGTCCTGGAACCCAACAGTAAAGAATCATACCCACGGCTTCTTAATTTGAGGTTAAGGCTCAAAATATCAACAACATTGGGATTCTGAGCCTTATGACTTGAATTTAAGGATTTCAAAGCACTAAACGAGTCTGTATATATAATAAATTGTCTTCGATATTGCTTAGAAATGAACAAAAGAGCATAATATATAGCATTTAATTCTGAGGTGAAGACCGAGCAGGCCGAGACAAAGGCAATGATCGTCGATCAACTGCTCAATTTGTCTACCTCGATGTGTGGGAGGTAGGTCAATTCAATTCCAAAGATGTGTGGGAGGAAGGTCAATTTTCGATCAAACATCACTCCTAAAAATTTTACTTTAGACTCCACTGGAATCATTGATTCTCCAATATATAGTTCAGGGTCAGGGTGAAGATTACGCTTTCTGCAAAAATGGACACATACAGTCTTCTGTTTTGAAAAAATAAATCCTTCTTTTTTTGACCAATGATCGATTCTATTAAGAGCGATTTGCAGCTGCCTCTCTACATATCTCATGTCTGCACCTTGACAGCATATTTGGAGGAGGTCATCAACATATAAGAAACCTGAAACCGTAGGAGGAAGTTCTTTCAGAACAGAATTAATTTTTAAGCTAAACAAAGTAACACTTAGCACACAGCCTTGAGGCACACCCTCTTCTTGAGAGAATACATCAGAGACTACAGAGCCAATTCTCACCTGAAAAGTCCTACCCTTCAAGAAATTTTGCAGATATATTGGCAAGTTGCCGCGTAAACCAATGGTGAAAAGATCAAGCAAAATCCCATGCCTCCATGTCTTGTCGTATGCCTTTTCTATGTCAAAAAACACAGATACAAGATGGTTATTTTTGACAAAGGCTTTACGAATGGAGGTTTCCAAAAGGAGCATATTGTCAATAGTCGTTCTGCCTTTACGGAAACCACTTTGATATGGGGAAATTACATTGTTCTTTTCTAAATAATAGACCAAGCAGCAGTTCACCATTTTCTCAAAAAGCTTGCAAACGCAGCTTGTAAGGGCGATGGGTCTGTAGTTATTAGGATTCTTCGGATCTTTCCCTGGCTTAGGTATTGGAATGACAACAGCTTTCTTCCATACATTGGGAAAATTATGCTCCTTCCACACCCGATTATACAGAGCGAGAAGGGCATTCAATGATTTACAGGAAAGATGCTTTAGCATTTCATAACTAACGCCGTCTGGACCAGGGCATGACCGATGTGTCTGTAACAAAGCTCTTCTTAATTCCAGGAGGGAAAATTCACAGTTATAAGGTTCCGAGTTGTCAGAGTTGAACTTGATGTGGATATTTTCAGAGCGCTGCTTAGCGGACAGAAATGATTGGGAATAATTGCTGCCATTAGAAATTGCAGCAAATGTTTCACACACCAAGTGTGTTGGCAATTTCTTCCGCAGTGCTGATCGCTTGGCCATCTTTTTCCAGGATGGAAAGTGAGTGGTCATTATATATTCCACATGCTTTTCTTACTCTTTCCCATACTCGTTTACTGGGTGTTGAAGGCGTTATCCCAGACACATACGATATCCAGGAATCCCTCTTACTCTGCCGTCGCACTCTTCGGGCGTTTGCTTTAGCTTTTTTGAAAGCAATAAGATTTGATAGAGTGGGGCATCTTCGAAAATGTCTCCAGGCTTTCCTCTGTGTTCTCAGAGTTTCCTGGCATTCGTGGTTCCACCATGGTTTTGGGTATTTTGGGGATTTTGAAGAGCTCAATGGTATAGAGGCTGTGGCCGCTTGGATGATAATGTCAGTAACAGCTTTCACTGCGTCCTCGACCGGCACATCATTCACTACTTCTTCTGTAATGTGGGCAAGAGAGGAGAAAAGCTCCCAGTCCGCCCTTTCAAATATAAAACGTGAGGGTCTTATGACGGGATTCATTCCTTCTCTTGTAAATGTAACAAATATAGGGAAATGATCACTATTGTGAGGATCATCTCCAACACTAAACGTACAGAAGGGCAAGAGAGAGGGCGAACAGATGGCAAGGTCAAGGGCGTGAAAGGTCCTTGTCGGCTCATGGAAGTATGTATCCTGACCATTATTGAGGAGACAAAGGCAATGATCGTCGATCAACTGCTCAATTTGTCTACCTCGAGGATTTGTATCACTACTTCCCCAAAGCTGACTATGTCCATTAAAGTCTCCAATAATAATAAACGGCTCTGGCAGCTGGTCTACCAACTCGTCCAGCTTTTTCTGATTAATGGCTTCATTTGGAGGCAGATAGATGGAAACGATGGAAACTAATCCTTTGATATTAACCTTTATAGCAGCCACTTGAAGAGATGTTGCTAATGGAAGGACAGTTGACGGACAGTGAGGTGAGAAGACCTACACCACCACAGGCGCGTTCACTAACAACATTGTCCTTTCTCGTAAAGGAATACCTCCTAAGCCTGACTTGGTTATCAGGTTTTAGAAATGTTTCCTGCAAAGCGAAGCCGACTGGTTGATAAATATTGATCATGTTCTTGATGTACAGGAGACCCTGGTGGAAACCACGACAATTCCATGAAATAAGGGTGGCCATTATGAATGTCTGTCTTGCCTATGCTGCTGCTTTGTCTGTCGCGGAAGGAGATTTTTTGGAAGTTCCAATCCCGCCTCAACTTCCATATCATCAAAATCCGAGCTCATACTTTCGAGGGAGCTGTAACTTTGATTCCCATGTTTAATGTTTTGAATATCTTCCTGTTTTTTCTTTGTTTAATAGAAAGGTTTTCCGTGGCTGTATTTTTTTTTCATTTAATATGTTTTTTATCTGAGATATTGCTTCCTGATACATTTTTAGTTGCATTAGTCTGTATAAGTTTGTTCTTATTTGGGTTTACTGGTTCACTATTTTCTTTTTTACCTCTAAGGGTCAGATTGGTTTGTATTGCAACGGATTTAACGGATTTTGCAGCAGCATTAGCATAAGAGACATTCGAACGTGGCTGTGTACTAGCAATAATTTTTCTAGCCTCTGCATAAGTGATGTTTCTAGTAACTTTCAATGCCTGTACTTCTTTCTCGGCTTTCCATTTTGGGCATGAACGTGAATATGCTGTGTGCTCCCCCTTACAGTTGATACAGAGTGACGCAGCGTTACAGTTATCACTGTCGTGGCCCTCCACGGAGCAGCGTGCACACGTGGGCTTACCTCGACAGGATATTTTGGAGTGACCAAAGCGCTGGCACTGGAAACATCGCATGGGGTTCGGGAGGTACGGTCTTACTGGACAATGAAGATACCCGGCCTTGACACTTTTGGGCAGATCAGCCGAACTGAAGGTCAGGATAACGTGTTTGGTATCTATCAACTGACCGTCTTTACGCATTTCAATCCTCTTAGCAGCACAGACATTCTGACTGGAGAGTTCTGTGACGAATTCTTCCTCTGAAACAGAGAGAAGATCCAGTTGAGAGATAACTCCACGACAGTGATTTAGAGTTTTGTGCGCTGAAGCACTAACATCTAGATTTCCAAGTCTTGTTATGCCAAGAAATGTTACAGCTTGAATAGGAGATATAGTTTCTATTAAAAGGTCACCAGATCGTAGCCGCTTCATAAACTTTGGTTCTCCAGCAATTCCTTGAATATATTTATTTATTACAAATGGTGACATTTTTTTCAGTTCGCCTGTTGGATCGTTAATAACAACAAAACGTGGTTGAATCTTGGATTGAATAGCATTGGCATTTTCATTTGTTTTTACTCTTTTTGACGCATAACTATGTTCTGATGAAGTTTGAAAATTTGAGAGAGCCATATTGAAGATGAAAAAAGATTCGGACCCGGCAGCCCCACCCACACGGAGCCCAACAAGGGGACGCAGAAAACTGCGACAGGGTTAACCGGGTCTATACGCAATCTGAAGCTTCCACAGTCAGCTTTCCCGAAAGCAGAAACTCCCGAAAGCTTATCCCCAAGCCACTGACCCTAAGGACGAGTGACCAGCCGATTGACACTAGTGGGGACAACTAAGTGCCTCCCGTTTCAATCTGAAGCAGAGGCCAAAGCAGTGTGTTGGGGACAGTACCTCGCCCCTCAACTACCAGGACCCTCCTTTCCAGCCTTACGGGTCACAACGCACGGCAAACGCGTAGGTGGTTTTCTCTCCGTGAGAAGCTATAAACAAAGGGATGTGACAGGATCTCACTTTGAGCCCGAACCTCCGTAAAGGAAAACCACAAGGGCGGGAAAAAATGAATATAGTAGAGAGAAGGAGAGATGAAAAGGAAGGGAGGAAAGATCACTAAGGGCCCCAGGATCGTGACCCCCGTCTCACCAAGAAAGTGATCCCTTGAAGGGCTAGGGTACCTCGGGATTGCCACACCCGTACTCACAAAAGTGAGCCCCTGAGGGGGAGTGTGGAAGGAGCATAGTTTTCCCAGTGCATGGAAGAGAGCTGTTGTAATTCCTATTGCTAAGCCAGGGAAGATCCAAGAAATCCCTCCAACTATCGGCCAATTGCCCTTACGACTTGCCTATGCAAGCTGTTTGAAAAAGTGGTAAACAGCCGCCTAGTCTACTTCTTGGAAAAGAATAATATTATATCGCCTTACCAAAGTGGTTTTCGAAAGGGGAGGACTACCGTAGATAATATGCTCCTCTTAGAGACATCCATTCGAAAAGCTTTTGTAAGAAGAAATCACCTTGTCTCAATTTTCTTCGACATTAAAAAAGCTTATGATAAGGCATGGAGATACGGTATACTTCGTGATCTTCACGAGAGTGGCTTGTGCGGCAACCTATCAATTTTCATTCAGAATTTCCTGAACGCTAGAACTTTTCAAGTAAGGATTGGCTCTGTTTTTTCGGATGTTTTTCAACAGGAAGAGGGTGTGCCTCAAGGCAGTGTGCTCAGTGTAACCCTGTTTACTTTAAAAATAAATTCTGTACTAAAAGAACTTCCTCCCACCATCTTGGGATCACTATATGTAGATGATTTACAGATTAGCTGTCGAGGGGCAGACATGAGATACGTAGAGAGGCAATTGCAGATGGCTCTGCATAAGATCCAAGAATGGTCAGACAAACAGGGATTTACTTTTTCGAAACAGAAAACTGTGTGCGTACACTTTTGTAGGAAGCGAGGTCTCCATCCTGAACCTGACTTATATCTAAATGGTACAATTATTCCAGTTGCGCCCGAAGTAAAATTTTTAGGAGTGACGTTCGACCGAAAATTGACCTTCCTTTCTCATGTTTTAAACCTGAGAAAGAAGTGTCTAAAAACACTAAATATTTTAAAAAGTGTTGGCGAACACCTCCTGGGGTGTGCAGAGCGTTGCTCTATGCTTCGAATTTACAGAGCGGTTATCCGCTCTAGACTGGACTATGGCTCAGTTGTTTATGGATCCGCTCGGTCATGTGTTTTGTTAAAACTGGATCCTGTTCACCATCAAGGTCTGCGGATTTGTTCAGGAGCATTCAGGACTTCTCCTGTACAGAGCCTATATGTTGACTCTAACGAACCATCACTTTATCTGAGGCGTGAGCAATTGTTCCTTTTGCAATATTTTAATATTCTATCCCAACCTGAACATCCCAATAAGCTGTGCTTACTCGATAATGAGTGTAACACATTATATGAAACACGTCCATCCTGTGTTCCTACTTTCCCTTTAAGAGTTCGGCCTGTCATTGAGGAACTCTCCCTCTCTGATATGCACCCCCAAGCAGTACAGAATTTTGAAATTCCACCTTGGGAAAATTCACGGATCCAGCTTCTTGATGTTTTCAAACATCACGTAAAGGCGAGCACTAACGAGATCGTTTACAGACAACTCTTCGCTGAGCACAGGCACAAATATAGCAGGTATCATGCGATATACACTGATGGATCAAAGTCAAATGATCATGTCGGGATGGCTTTTGTATTTCAAGATTACATAGAGGGCCGATGCCTGGACCATGCTTTCTCAGTCCTAACATCTGAACTAACTGTAATATACTACGGTCTTTTGTACATCTCAAAGCTCTGCCACAAAAAGTTCATAGTTTATACAGACTCGTATAGTGCTCTTAAATCCTTGGAAGCTTTCCCCAACACGCAGAATCCTGTGGTAGTGGATGTTCTCAAAATTCATAGAAATTTAACAATTGGAGGATATCAAGTTCTGTACTGCTGGGTCCCTGGACATGCTGGAATAAAGGGAAATGAGCTTGCAGACATCGCAGCCAAATATGCTGTTGAACCGTCCACTCGCCTTATTCCTTTTAGAGACATCTGCTGTGTAATCAAGGGGAAGATGCGGAAAAAATGGCAGCAAATTTGGGATGTTCAGCATCACAACAAGTTGAGAAACGTCAAGCCTAGAATTGAACATTGGGATTTTGCTGGAAATAGTAAGCAGGACGTTCTTTTGACTCGCCTCAGAATAGGTCACACTAGAGTCACACATAACTATCTTCTCAAAGCTGAAAATGAGCCTGTTTGTTTTAATTGTAATGTTTGTTTATCTGTTCGTCATATTTTAATTGAGTGTCCATTTTTTAATAGTCTTCGCCAGAAATATTTTAATAGCTGTGACCTACCTCTCGACCGTTTAATCGGAAGAGAGGTCAATTTTAATTTATTTTATTATTTAAAAGAGATTGGCTTTTATTACCTAATGTAATTTATCTTGAAGACTGTGTCTTGAATTTTAATATGTGCTTTTAACTTGTGTTTATATGACTTCATCCTCTGGATTTGATACATTTATCTACTTGTTTTTATTTATTGAATTTTAATGACATCAATTGTAATCATCCCACCTTGTGTTTGGCGCGTCATAATCATCTCTGGTTTTTGCGCCATAATCACTCACTCACTCACTCACTCACTCTTACCTGTTCCGCCACTTAGCATAAGGGCACTACAGGGCTAGGATATCATCCCAGTCGTTGCACTAGTAATCATTTTGGCGGTCTGCGCCGCATCGTTTTTGCTCTTTTCTTTTTTTAGGTTTCTGGATCATGTCGGTTAGGCCGACAGATCGGTTTATTTATACATCACATACAATACAGAATGATACATAGTTATTGTTAAAGAGATACAAAGCCGGCGAATGGCGGCATTAGTTAAACATTATTTACAATATATATACACTATTTACAAAGTGGGTGTAGGTCGCAGCCTACTTTACATATCTCGTTGGGTCAGGTTTTACCTGTTACATGTAATTGCCTAATTGTTTTGTTGTTCTGTCTCTATGATGAGGCTGTCGGTTCTGATTTGGTCTATTATCCTGATGATTCTCTGTTGAGCGTAGTAGTCGCTGAAGATGTCCGAGATGTGCCCTTGGGAGGTCCGGAGCCTGAGAGTGGTGGTGTGTGGACAGTCGTTGAGGTCCTGGAGGAACCTGGCTTGTGGCCCGTCTTGTCCGCATCGGCAGGAAGGCCTTTTGTGGTGGAATCGCACTAGGTAGGAAGGGAAGTACCCATGATCTGTATACGCTTGTATCAGTCGGTGATCGGCTTTGATCCTCCTGGGGTTAACCTTTGGGAACATGTTAGCGGTGAACCTGCCTGTGGTGTCCTCATACTGCCATCGGTGCAGCCATTCTGCGTAGACCGCTTTTCGGATGATGTTCTTGGCGCCTAATTCCGAGATGAGGTGGTCGGAGTCTATCTGAGCTTTAGTTGTTGCTAGCTTTGCTAATTCATCGGCCCGCTCGTTAGCTTTGTCCCCTGTGTGGCCTCTTATCCAGTGTAAGTGGAGTGGGGGGTGGAGTCTTGTGCTGTTAAGAAAATTTCTTTTAGAGCCTCTATGTGTGGGCTGCGGTAGCCTCTTTTGTTTAAAGCTTGCAGGACGCTTTGACTGTCTGTAAAGAAGCGCCCCGTCTGATGTTGATTATCCGCCCAGATAAGGGCCTGTTTTAATGCATAGGATTCCGCTTGGAACACTGAGCAGTGGTCACTAAGTCGGTAGGTGTCTCTGTGAATTTCCTTGATTGTCTTGGAATGCGACGAATGCCGCTCCAACTCTGTCTTTTATCTTTGAGCCGTCCGTATAGATTTCTAGTTGGGAACCTTGGGGGGGATCTTTGGTCCATTTAATTTTGCGCCATGTTCCTGGGTGTGTGCTGTGAAAATGCATCCGGGTTTCTACTTGGGAGCCCATAATTAATGTGTCCCCGTATAGTTTGGCGTCTTCTCCGTAATGGATGAGCCTATAAGTTAACCTTTCTTTTTGCGCTTGGAGGTCTAAGGGTAGTGTGCCAGCCAGGACTTGGAGAGCGGCTGTTGAGGTCGTACTATAGGCCGAGGTAATTTTTAATAGAGCTAATCTCTGGATTTGCATTAATTTTTGGTGTACCCTGACTGTGCCTGTCATCCAGACCGGGCAGCCATAAAGGATATATCTCTCTATGCCTCGCAGGTAGAGCTTCTTTAAGTATTCTTCCCCTTAGATTCCAGCTTGGATTTGCTAATCTGTTTAATTTATTTATAATTTTACTTGTCTTCTCCCGGACTTCTGTCAGGTGGGGGATCCAAGTTAATCTCTTATGTCTAGAGTGAAACCCCAGATATTTGAGGGTGTCCTGTCTTCTTAGTGGGGTGCCCTGCCATTTGATTCTTGGAGGGTTGGACTTCTATTTTGTGGCCTTTAGGAAGCATGAGCATCTGTGTCTTTTTCTATACTAAATTTTAGCTTGTATTGTATGCTCCATTTAGTTAGTTGTTCTCTAGGGCGGTATGTGCCTTTTTCTCAATTATTTTCCGGTTGCCCCCTGCTATGACCAGGATGAAATCATCCGCGTAGGCTTGTATTTTGACGTC